CCCGTGCCGCCTCCTTCCCTGCAGGATGGAGAGTGACGATGAGAGCGACTCCCCTGACAGCATCGTCCCCGCCTCATCCCCCGAGAGTGTGCTGGGCGAGGAGCTGCTCCGCTTCCCCCTTCTCAGCGAGGCCAAGCCGGAGCTGGAGGAGCGCGTGCTGTCCCCCATCATCCCCATCATCCCCCGGGCCAGTATCTCCCTGCAGGATGGAGAGTGACGACGAGAGCGACTCCCCTGACAGCATCGTCCCCGCCTCATCCCCCGAGAGTGTGCTGGGCGAGGAGCTGCTCCGCTTCCCCCTGCTCAGCGAGGCCAAGCCGGAGCTGGAGGAGCGCGTGCTGTCCCCCATCATCCCCATCATCCCCCGGGCCAGTATCCCAGGTGGGCTGGGCCGCGCTGGGGGGACGTATGGACCAGGCAGGGGCAAGGCAGGGCAGGAGGGGTCTGCGGTACACGTGGACCAGGCAGGAGGGGGTCGGCGGGGCGTACAGACCGGGCGGAAGGAGGTCCGTGGGACGTACGGACCAGGCAGGGGTAACGTAGGGCAGGGAGGGGGTCTGCAGGGCACATAAATCAGGTAGGAAGGGGTCTGTGTGGTATATGGACGGGGCGGGAGGGGGTCCCTGAACGTGTGGGCTGGCAGGGGAAGGGTCCTTGGGGAACGTGAGCAGAGGGGAAAGGGGTCTGTGGGGTGTACTGCACCTGCACAGCAGAGCCTTGAGCGTGGCCCTGTGTGTCGGGGCTGGCCTGTTCCTGAGGGTCCCCCGGCTGCTCCCCGAGGGTTTCCCGTTGGTGCGGGGTGCTCTGTCCCTGTCACCGCACCCCAGCCTCTGTCCCGCATGAGGTGATGGATCCCCAGCAGTGTTTCTGTAGGGGTCCGGGGCGGCTGGGTGGGCTCACGGGTGGCTGTCGGTGTATCGGTGGGCTGTGTCTGTGCGGCTCTGACCCCCCCCCTCTCCCCATGCCAGTGTTCCCCGACGCCCTACGAGGCCCCGGAGCGGAGC